GATTTGAAAAGACAATCAAAAGAGGAAGACATTTTTTCTAGACACAGATACTTGCTATAAATTTTATCAATAGTAAAAAATTTGAATGAGTCACTTGACTAAAAATGGTATTTTCTACCAAGAATGAAATTCAGTCTTCTTAGATAAAATTAGAAATTTGAAAAATCTGTATATTATTTGGTGGTTTGATAGCTTTCTAATATTAAAATTCATTTTTGATGGGACTTCAGGTAATAGTAACAAATGATTTTTTTTCTACAATGATATATGTCAACAGTTGGAAGTCCTATCTCAAACAGTGTACTATTGCAAATTACCATCAACTGATGTGACAAAATCATACAACAGTAAATGATCAATTCAAGTACAAGATGAGCCAGTTTTTGTATAAGACATTATAGAATGTTTATTGAAGCCATGTTTGATTCCACATCACAAATAACTATAAATAAACTGGTTGCTAGGATTTGGAACAGTGTTAAGTATAGTTCTATATTAGCTGAAGTTTATCAAAATGTCCCTTTGACAGTTACATATCTATCTGAAATTTGACTATTTACAGGCAATGCAAAGAAATACCTATGTGAAATATATGAATGGAGAAATCATAACAACCAAGTTATTTTTAATCAAGCTTCTCATTTAAGGAATTTATACAAGTATAAAAACTACTACTGTTTCACTAGTTTTTTTGGTCGAAAATTATGTTACTCTTGAAATGCCCATTCTCTGGAGTTCTCAGTAACAACCAACATTTTCAGATCCTCAGTTGACATTATCATGTAATTGCATTTTCAATTATTTTACAATAGTCCCTCCCAATTCAGAGAACAGATGAAGCTAACGTGGGCCAAAATTTCCATTTAAAAAGAAGTGAAAAAGGTAGAGAACATGGGACAAACCGTCAAAGGCATAAATTGCTATGAGGTCATTCAGTGCTTCAAGGCATCTCTGTATATGTATCACCCTGTAGTAACTATTGTCTGCTAACTGTTCTGCCACTCTGATGGCAGACAGACTAAGTCAAAACACACACACACACACACACACACACACACACATAAAACCTCAACTGGGTTTTAATTGAAGCAGATTGTGATCATTACAATCAATTTAGAATCACAAGTCATTCAATTTTGTACATATTCTTAAGTTTTGTATTACAGAATATTTCCTTGTAATTATTGATATAAACATTTGTCAAAGGAACATTTTATTAGTTTTAATGCAGAAACTTTCCAAATTTGTTATCTAGTAACCACAATTACATTTCTCCAGTTTCTATTTGAAAATATTTTAAACCTATAAAACTTTCTGAAGTATATGTACAGTTTAATAAATAACAACAAAATGATATCTCATCCAATTTATATCACATTGAAGACTTATATTCACATGAACCACCTTTTACTATAATGAGCATGCATCATTAATTCAATTGAAAATGTTTCATATGTTCTATTACCTGTATTACTCCTTAAGGACTTGAATAGCTACTGTCTATAAAACTAGAATACAAAGGACATTTCATTAATTACTAATTCCACCCTGATATTAAAGTCCATTTAGACAACAAAGAGTTATCATCTGTAATTTCTAGTTTTTCATTAAACTTCTATAGAGTTTAAAGGAAGAATTTTCATCTGCTTTTAAATATTTGCCTGGAATTTTAGTCATTAACTTTTATGATTTCTTTTTCTCTTTGTAAAAATTATATACACCTTACCATAGAGGAGTTTAAAATAACTCTTCACTCTAAAAATACTACATGATATTTTGAAAACCTTTCAAAAATACAGAAAAATGTAAAGGTTAAAATGAAAACCACCTGCAGTTCTATCACACACGGTTAACCTTGACAATCATCTTTATTCTGCTAATTTTAAAATGGAGGCATGGTTTTTCCAATGTCTCTTTAAATTTTTCACTTTAAAAATTGTAAAATGGAGGGGTAATGAATTTGTGTGTTGTCTCTCTTGGTGGCCAAATCATCCTAACAATATAAAGACCCCAAAGTAAACAAAGACTATAACCGCAATGGCCAATTTGTGTTTTAAATTGTTCAGTTCGGTTGTCTTGCTTTCATAGTTATGTGTTTGTTTTAGTTGCTTTCCAGATAGCTAACCAAATGTAGTCCCTTAATACAGTGAAAGATTTATTGATGCTTCTGGATTTGTAGCACATTGCAGCAATTCCTGTTTTGGGGGATTCATTTTAAAATTTCTTCTTCGAAATCTGGCAGTTGGGATTGGGACTGTCAACTGGGCCTCCATTGCCTACCATGTAAGGGGAGACTCATGATAATGGCCCTTAATACTGATCTATTGACTGTTGATGGCTTCTGGAAGTAGGATATTATTGTTTCCTGTTGTGTACCTAATGGTGGGCTGATCAGGCTCTCATGCATGGCTCCAAACCAACTTGGATAGGCCTGGTTAAACTTAGTGGGTAACAAAATAAAGCATGAGAAATAGAATTTTAGGGACCTGCACGTGAGGGGTGGCACATGGGAGTGATCAGTATGCCTTGTCTATAATTGTCAAATAACAAAAATAATTAATAGTATTTAAAATCTATCTATCTATCTATCTATCTATCTATCTATCTATCTATCTATAAGATCTGTTCATGAACACCAAGCACTGAGAATGACTAAATTAGTCTTCAATTGGTGAACTTATAAGCCAATGAACAAGTTTGGCATAGTGATACAATTACATATTTTTCAACAATAAGGGCCAAGTATCAGCCACAAAATGAAGGAATGGTAAGGATATAATACTGAGTTTAAAAGTGCAGTTTTGAAGATAGAATATAATATGATTAGTAATTATTAATATTAATATTACCACAACCTACAATCTGTCATGTTACTCATGTAAAACCTTAACACAGAGAAAATGCAAATAATTTCAATTCTCAAAAATGTTCAGTGGTGTAAGTAGTGAAATTATTAGCTATCCCTTAAAATTTAAAGTAGAGCTAATAGAGGAAAGATGAATAAGTAAAGAAACAGAATATTCTAATGATGAATATATGACTTGCATTTATATAAGCCTATATGGAATAATTAACCCTAATTTAAACTATGGAAATAATTTAATAACCATGTTAACCTTGGTAAGAACTGAGCTATTCTAATGTAACATAAGGAGATAGTAACAGAAGATGGGAAGCTGACACAGAGGTACTAACCCTGTTTTGCTTTGTTCAACTTTGTAATACATTGAATATTTTTAAATTATTAAAAAGTGAAATATTTATTTTTATGTGGTAGTTATGTTTTCAATAATTTGAGTTGTAATCTTTATTCCATGGTTGGTAAATAATTTACCTATATAACATTCCAGGTAAAATTTCCTTTAGGTAGAAAATGATATTAAGCCCATCTCACCAGGGTATATAGGAGTCTTGTGTAGCATGTATAAGAATGATATTCCTGGAAGCAAGTGATGAGACGTTGAGTCTGAATGAATTGTCTGCCTTAGCAATGACAGCTATCTACAGTGGTATATTGTGTGGATTTGTCCATTTCAGAAAATATTTTCCTTTGGTGGTGTTATCTTTTGAACCATATTTGTTTATTTGAGAAGTCACTTATGAGACGGGAAATGTGCCATTCATGATTTCCAAAAATCTTGAGGCATTTTTCAACAACATTGGTTTAGTAACAATTAACACATTTGGAACAATGCTTTGAATATTTTCATTGTGAAGATGATTTATTTCAGTTATTGAAATGGCCAGAGGCAGATATGAAAAGACTGAGAAAGTTTGAATTTCTATACACAAAGTATTTAAAATGAAAGTTACTATCCCAGTAATGTATTTTTCTTCTATCACTTCACACTCAAACAATGTGAGATTGAATCTGGCTTGGGACAATAACTCTTCAAATGTATTCCAGGCCCTTCCCACATAATTTCCTATGAGACCAGCAGCAGCCTACACTATGGCACAGTTGCATCTAACCTCATTAGTGAATCTTCATTCACCTATCTCCTAGATGTAAGATTTCATCATCTCATCGCCTCACTTTCTTTGTGTTTGGATTTTACTTTTGAGTGTGCAATATTACTGACAAGTTAATTATTCATATTTCATTAAGTTATACCCTTGATTAAACTTTCCTAGAGGAAACATGTCTTTAGGAAATCAACTCTAATGTCCATTGAAGAACAGGTTAGGTCAGCGGATAAGGGAGTTGCATTGATTGGTAAGTCTACTGCATTGTGTCTGGAACTCATAGTGAAAAGAAGGGTGCTCTTTGCTCTGAAGATCTAGCAGTTCCTTGGTGTTGAATCTATGCATAGGCTCTGAAATTGTGCTTATTCCATGTGAGGAAAATTCATGACTTATAGGTCAAGTGAGGGTAAGAAAGAAGCTCAAGAGTCACCGGATGCACATCTGTGCTAGTAAACATGGTTAGTACATATATAAATGAGGTGGTGTGAGAGACAAGGTGGAGGGAGGCTGAATTCCTCATTCACCCAAGCTCTTAGCAATGGGGACAAGCTCAATCTTTGGAAGGATGTCAAAATTTTATAATGAAAACAAAACTACACCATAGCCTGATTTACTTTTAGAAAGCAAGCAATAAAATTTTAGCAGGCGTAACTTTTGCTTGGAAACAGAAAACATATCCTCAAAACTGTATATCCTAATAAACTGTTTGTATCTATCTAAAATCATTACATGTTCATTTATTATCTTACATATCAACAAATAGAAGTGACTTTTAAAAAGCAGAAGGAAGTAGAATCAAGGTTAATTGTAGTATCTACCTTAATTCCTCTTGCCTTATGTTTTGATCGTTTAGCAGCTAAGAATATTCTAATGTCAGGATTTTACATTCTGGGAGTAGAGAAACTTTCACAGAACATTATCCTCAAAATTTCCTGGCATTCTTCTACTTTTCTAACTTTATTCTTCATGGTCTTATATCATGACACATATGACTGTAGTTACAATTTATATGATGCTGTGTTTTCTTTCCATAGATCCAGGGTTGCATAGGCAGCTCTATTTTCTGCAAAGACCATCCAACGTAGTAGCCATTGAAGGAAAAGATGCTGTCCTGGAGTGTTGTGTTTCTGGCTACCCTCCGCCAAGTTTCACCTGGTTACGGGGCGAGGAGGTTATCCAACTGAGGTATTACACACCGGGATCTTGAGAACTATATACTATTGTTTTACACTTCTTGATAGGCACCAAAAGTTCCAGCTTTCTCAAAATAATTAGATTTGTTCTCAATTTTGGGGGGACGATAAATATATAAAAGATAATTAACCGTTGGTAGTAGACGATGAGGAAATAAGTAAAAGCTGGGGGATCCGTTCTGACGGGAATGGAGTTAGAGTGATACTGAGATGCAAGGGCATTCAGATGATGTCATCAGAGGAATGTGAGAAGGAGAAGGTAAATCTTATACGTTCATAACACAATGTGCGTCCACATGCACCACTCATGAATGCATGCATATCTACACACACACATGTTACCTAGCTTGCTATTGTAATCATTTCATATTACATACGCATGTATATATTTCACATTCCATACATAAAAACACCACATGGTATACCATAGATATAAACAATTTTCACTGTCAATTATATTTCAATAATTGTGAAGATAGAAAAGGAAACATTTCTTCAGTTTAATGCATTGCATGTCATTTTAAGATCCTCATATATATCATAATCCCAAATGTACCTCTTATTACTCCCAATTAATATAAATAGAAGATAATGCTGGAGAACATGGCTCACATTGGATTAGCCCAAGATTAATAATAAGGGAAACATAGAAAGCAAGTACGTGGTTGAAGGAAATACTTAGTCTAAAACACATTGATTAAATGGATCTCACTTAAGAAATTAAGTTCATTGATTTGAATTACTAATATACCCCTTTTAGCACATTTAATATCTGTGATGAGATATGTGCATACATCATAAATTATTGTTTAAATTGTGCTCAATGTAAGTAAGTCTTTAGGCAAAAATAAGACATAGGATGCTATCATGGTGTTTCTGAAGTCATGAAGGCATACAGGAAATCTGATCACTACCTTACTTTGATACAGCAGATATTCTTGGTTCAGTTGAAATGTGACTTTTTAAACGGTGACTGAGCTATATATCAGAGTGGAACACATTGATTTCCACCCTGGAAAACCATTTCTTTCACCTTAGAGTCCCTAAAATTTAAAAATGATTGAATCATCCTAGATTATTTAGAAATTTCTTATTAATTTTAGAATAGAAATTTATGATTATATATATTATTACATTTATTTTATAAATATAATACATTAGTTTTACATTTAATCTGGTTAAACTTTGAATCAATACACAGAGCCTCCATGTGGGAGTTTACCTTGAATTAATACTACTTCAATGAGTGAGGTATATTAGATCCTTGATGATATATGAATTTTATCTCTAAAGTTCTACAGTATGAGAATTTGTGAAATTCATTAGCACTTCTGAAGTCTTGCCCAATGTCCAAATATGTTAACTGACTATGTCTTTGTATGTGACCTCTATCTTACAGGTCAAAAAAGTATTCATTGTTGGGTGGAAGCAATTTGCTCATCTCTAATGTGACAGATGATGACAGTGGAACCTATACTTGTGTTGTAACATATAAGAATGAGAACATTAGTGCCTCTGCAGAGCTCACCGTCTTGGGTAAGTCGGTGATTGGAGATTAGTTTATATTATACACTTCAAAATATACCACTATAACATTTTAAGTGCTTATCGCTGATTGCTTCCCATATTTATTAGCGTGAAATTGAAAGGTCCCAGTATACTCTGCATGCTCTTGCTCTGCTTTGATTAATTGCACAGGGGTTAAATACAGTGCTTGAATATTTGCTCATTGATTAAAAGCCACATATATTACTCCTTACTTTAATTATTTTAGTGATGAACTGAAAAGTTCCCCCAAAGTGTTAATGAGCAGATGTGTTGAATAACAATGAAGACTTCTAAAAATATCATATACACAAAAAATAAAAGATAAATGACAGAAATTATGTATGATACTTAATACAAGTGGAGAAGATGATGATACTTGAAATAATATCTCTGACATAAAATTCAGATCGCTAAGAAGATTTATTTATTAATATGGAATAACTGTAGGTGTTGTGTTGAAAGTAAACAACTAAAATCCAGTATGTTTAAGGAAAACTTGCATGGCATGAATGCAATTTTAAGAGTTTAAGGAACATTATTGAAAATTAAGAATGATGATCTGTACCAGGTCAGACAAATGAATATATTATCATTGTCTTGGAATTTGTTTTACATATTTTGACATCAATTATGTACTTTGAAGAAAATACATTAATATTTTCTTTTTTCTTGGATATGACAAAACATGTATACTGATTTTTCACTTATTACTATGAATAAGTTCTTCTTGTCTTTATAAAAATTCAAGAAAATCCACAGACTGTTTATAAATTATTCTGTAAAAGCTAAAATATATTAATGACATAAGATGTGTCTAGCTGCTAAATTATATCATTATAACTATGACATCCATTTTGCTTTGGACTTAAAAAGGTTAGGGAAAAATAATAGGATAGATGGTGGTTTATGTAATATAGTTGCTTATTTTCTCATCAAAATTTAAATTCTAAAAAACAAATGTGAAAATGATATTAACTCTTTAGATTTAGAGACAGCATTACTTTAGCTAAAATTTTAACAACCTTCAAGCTGGCAACAATCTAATTTATATTTCAGTAGCGCAAAGTAAATACAGCATTTGTAATGTCAAGGAACTATAACAAATATTTCTGATCATAAATGGTCATTTAATGTGATCTTTATTAGTCAAATAATGAATGTGGTTATATAATAAGCTCGAATTTAGACTGTTTGTAGTTTTACATGAACTTATGAGACTACAGTACTTTTTGACATCTAAATTGACTGTACATGAGTGCTGATATCTGAGGACACATGGAAGTCATCTACTATATACCTGTGTAGACATGTGTGTCTGAATGCATACTGACATAATTTACTTCATGAGTTGTACCAATTATTATAAAAGACCTATATATTTTAATATACTCAAAATGGAAAAGCAGCAAAATTTCCCACTCTATAGGATATATTTTCTGTCTTTCTTAGGAAAACATTTTAGAAACTTGGCATAGTTTCTTACAGAAAATTCCATGTCTACCTGAAGCATGTATGACCACCCACACTATAGAATTTCTTTATACTAATAATGGCAATGAAAAAGTCATACAATATTTTAAATTCTGTAGTATCATCTGATTACATATATTCACACATATGTGAAACATACAATCCTTTAAATATGTACATGTACATTAAGTGTATATATTATGCATGAAAATTTATATATGCCTATATGTTTATACACACATATGTACACATATACATGCAAATAATCCCTTACTGAATGCTAAAATAATTCTTCAAAAGTTCTCCTGTGGGAGGTGTATAAAGACAGCACATTCAATAGAAGTGATAGCCCTTGTTGTAGCTCTATATAAGTTTAGAAAATTAAACAGACTAGGATACCTTAAACGACATCTTTATTCTTTTAAATGGCTGGTATTGAGAAAGTTGATTGTAAATTCATAAGAAATTAATGCCTGTCTGGTCTCTGGCATCATGATGTCCTTTAAGAGTAGTCGTTTCTTTTGCCTGGAGGACAGTGGCAGTGGAGAGGATTTGGTCTCCTGTGTTTCAAACAAAGAAGTGTAGTGGTAATAGGCTCTTTCTGACTTCCAGTCTAACCAAGCTTCTTGAGTCTTTTCCACACTCCACTACCCTGAGATCTAATAAAACGCAAGCATTGGTGAAGTGGTGAGGCAGCTAGCCTCTCCTTAGAGGAGTCTGTTTGAGTATAAGACATCTTCACATTGAAGAAGAAACATGACCCATGCCAATGCTGAGAGTTTCAGATTAACTCTGTCTGATGAATGAGTTCTCAGACAGATAAGTAACTGTCCCAAGGAAGGATCCAGGCTTAAATCTAGCCCATTGTTCACACAGCCTCAGGCCCGAGTTTAATATCTTTATGATTCACACACTTCTCAGTTGCTGTATTTTTTTCTTCTGAAACAGATAGACAGGTAGGTAGGTTATGTGATATTAAGAACTGATTTTGGTTGTAAATTTCACAGTTCATGATATAATCACACCTAGAAATATGTGAATGTATTAGAACAATCTTCAGAGAACTGGAAATATGGGATAATAAGGTGCAAAGATAAAAATTGCATTGTTCTGTGAAAATAAGGTTAAAACAATTTTCATACTCATAGCCTACAAAGAGGCAACAAATACATAATTGGTTTCATGTGTCTCTCTCTTATTTTTTAAAACTACACATTACTTTGATAATCATAAAAATAAATGAGACAGTATAAAATTAAAGCATGCTTTGTTTAAAAAGAGGAGAAATAAACTCTCAGCAACTCAGATAAAAATTGTTTAGAAAATAAAGGTGGAACAAAAAAAGATACTGGACATTTTATGCAATGGATAAAACCAATCATCCTTATTTTTTAAAATTTCATGATTATTTGGGTTTTGCTTGAATGTCTGTCTGTTTCAGAAGCCTGGAACTGGATATATTGCTAGGTGTGAGGTGCCATGTGGATGATGGGAACTGAATCCTAGTCAGTCCTGTAGAAGAGCAGCCAGTGAGCTTAACCACTGGTCCACCTTTCCAGCCTAGAGTAAGGCTGGTCCTTAAATGACATCCTGCCTAGCCAGGCTGCCAGAGAGCAAACAGGCTTGTTACTCATGGAGATAAAATCAACCCACTCAGCAGTAGCCACTTAAAAAAGATCTTGTTTGAGGCATCTTAGTCTTTGTTTTTCTACACTAGCATTGGATTGAAGCAAAGCCCACATTTGCTCCACCTAAAGTGAGGTGAATGTTATATTGCATGATTTGTGTTCTCACTCAAAAGGAATCATAGCATCCTCTCTGTTATTCCTCTGTATTTTCTTTTAAGTAGTTGAACTATTTGTGTTGCTAAATTATATTCGAAAAGAAACACACACACACACACACACACAACCTCACAGACCGAATAGCTAAATTCGTATCTATTCATTTCCAAAAGAATGTAGACCTGCTTGAACTCTCAACAGTGTAATTTACTCTACCAATAAAGCAAATCTCTCATTTCCTTATCTCACAATTACCTATCATGGAATCTCCTTTTCAAAATGTACATCTCTGTGGCATTACATTTTCATTTTAATTTAATTTAAAAACTTCATTTTAACTTGTATTTACTAGACATTCACATTTCTGGGTTTGAAAACTTGCAATCAATTTTCTTGGCATTTAAATATTTATTTAATCATATATATATTCTTATCAGAAATTCCTTACAAATAGAAAAGCTTTACTTAGGCTGTGTGTGTAGTTACATATCAATGGATGAGGTTGTTTTATTTATAGTCAGTGACTTCTTACCACTAAATTTGTGTTTGTATTATAAATAATCTTTCAAGAAAATCTGCTTAAAGATTGCATATTAAATGTGTCTTTTGGAAGCATCTTTAATTTTCTTAACAAAGAGAAGATCTATGCTTATATCTTAAGATGTGTATTTTCATTTCTTTTATTTTTGTTTCCAAGAAATCACCATGGTAACTGAGTGTACATTTTAATCATCTCCCATAGACATTTTATGACTGATAACTACTACCCAAAACTGGATTTAATAAAGAAGTTGTGGAGACTGTTGTGAATACTCTTAGATCTCAGAATGGATGTTCATATTATAAAGTGTTTTCGACAGTGTCAGAATGTCCAAAGATACAGTTATTATTATCACTCAACCAGACTGTTTATTTTTAAACAGAATTTACTGCCTTTTAGGAATGTATGCAATGAAGAGAAGGGATCTTTATTATCTACGTTATTCAAATGTATCTTCCTATCTTTCAAAAATTTAAACATAGTTGTATTTTTCTTAAGGTTGATGTCCCACAAGAATAGCAACTTGTACTTTTAAATTTTCAATCATGCATTTTGTCAGACTCTTGTTTTTCTTTCCAACTTGTGATTGTTCGTGAAGATACACTAGCTTTGAATGTGAACCTTCCTTAACTCATGACTTTTTAAGTTTTCTAAACAACTAGATTAAAGGGAATGTTGCTCCCCTTTTCAGTAATTTGAGTCAATAAATATCAAGTGTAATTTAAAGTGTAGCATTTACATTGCATTCTGATAAAATGAAAATTGAAAGTTTATAACACAAAACTAGGGTAATTTTGTTCAAATAAATAGCACAAATAGATTTGCAATATATATTCTAATAATAACCACTTGAGGTTGTGTTTTTGAACCTACAAATAAAGGTCAGTTAGATATTTGTGAGCATTTACATGATACTAGACTGTAAGAATACCACAAAAGGGTTTGAAACCCAAGTTTAATGGACTTCCCATGCAGTTAAAATCCTCAGCTTATGTGTCCAGTGCTTATAAGGCATTTTAATATTATTTGTAAAGCTAATATCTGTAAAGATTTGAGTAGTTGATATTGCCTGTGTTTATTTGTTTGTATATTTTTCTCACTGTGACTGGCATTAACAAGTTAAAGAAGGATTTATTTAGCCTCACAGTTTCAGTGCTCTTAATTCATGGATACTTGTCATTGTCACTTTTGAT